CAAATCTCAAGTTTTTCCACTCTTGACATTGGTGTTGTGAGAGTGAAGTCTCGTGTGATTCGCGACCTCTACTAGTGCGTGTGAAAATGGGAATCACATTCGATAAAATTTACCTTGTTTCGAAGCGGTGTCCGAAGTTTTGGGTGTGCTCCGAAACAGTGAAGGTGTGCCTCCATATCGAATGTTTCGTAATGCATCAAAGGTTTGCCAGTCTTCCGATATCATCCTTTCCGCAGTCCCATGGAACCCTGTAAGCCAAGCTGTCTTGTTTAGTGGGCCAACTACATCTCCTGGCCGTCCCAAATGTGATCAAAGGATACTCTTTGACTTGAAAACAGAGCGTAAGCCTTGTAGGCTGCCACGAAGTTGTTTGAGCAGATCTCCACCTTAAAGAACAATATCGCGTTTAACATATTATGGATGGTGTTTACTCTACGCCAAGTACTGGTTTGCTTAGGTACGCCTCCCGAATACGCCGGTGGTGAGATGACCGCCTCATTCTCTTAAGAGGGCGAGTTTCTTATTGCTCTGTGTCTCTTTTACAGAGAAAAAAAAAAGCTTTCAGTTGTTCAGATACTGTAATTAGCTATCGACGTTCCTTTGATCCACGATGGATTGTATATGTAGCGTTTTCAGATCCTGGGCCTGTAGGATGATGTAGTTATTGCTTGTTTTTTGGGAACTGTACTTATGGATGTTACAGTGGAAAGCGGACTTTTATGGCTGAGCTTTCTCTTAGTTCGTGAATAGATCCGTCGCACTGAAATTTAGAAAGTCAGGAATGTGAAAAGGTATAAGCGCCGTGCAGTCGGATAGGCCTAAGTCGTTCTCCTGTTCCTATTAAGCACCTTTTACAGTGGCGTCGATAGGAAAGTTATGACACAGGACTAACGAAGATTTCCAAGATGTTGTTGTCTAAGATTGTTTTGCTGTTGATGGCCAATACGAGAAAGGCTGTGTTAGTCACAGGGGGAAGATAACAGCCAAATATCTGATTAATCATACCAGAGGTAATCACAGATGACAGAATGTGGACCTTTGGCAAACTGTAGACTCTGGGGAATGTTTGTGTCAAAGTCTGATCTCGTTTTGATTGTCTTCTAGTAGTTATCCAATACCCTTCAAGGTTCGAGAGACACGCTTTTTCAGATCTTTCTTTATGACTCGGCACAGTCCATTCTCAACGAAGGAAGGCGTCTTGGCTTAGTAGGTCTCCGTATTCATTACTGCTTTGGTGTTCTCTTTGCCTCCTGAGAGAGCCTTGATTGACCGTTCCTCCTAAATAAGTGTAAGCGCGTCTTGCATTTCCTTCCTTATGTCAGGCTGTAGCGGTAGTTACGCCCTTTGAAGAATACTCATAGCTGCTCTTTTAATTTGCCCCGATATCCTTCGATATTCCTCTTTGTACTCGATGAAAGAGCACAAGGTTTTCAGTGCCTTTTTCCTCAAGCGCTTGTCGATGGTGTGATAGGCGGTTGTGTCCAAAAGGGGTCGTGAGGCCAACCCAGATACGAGAGCCTCCTCACAGGCTCAAAAGACAGGTTTTAAACTTTTGTTAAAATCTTACTGATAAATCTTTCCAAAGGTTCTTTTTAGGTAAACTTGCAACAGGACAATACAAGACGATCCCAGCTTCGAAATGCTATTTCTAATTTTTAATCGACGAGATAACACCTGAGTGATAATTTAACGTTACTCATTGAGCTTTGATTAATACTAGTTCTATTATTCTTCCTGCTTGATTCTTTTCCATGTGGTTGATACTCCAGTCAACAGTTTTATTGTTTATTTGCCACAAATTTGAACTCTTGACTCCGTTAGAGGGCTGGAAGGGGATATATCGTTGTAGTCTTCCTTGTAAATCTCGTTGAGGCCCTCTTCCTAGTAGACTCTTATGGCTACTTTGCTGGGCGAACCACAGAGCTTTGAGGGAAGGACTTTGCACAAATATTACGTAGCATAACCTGTATATCTTGTCATATAGTCTTAAAGGTCTTCCAACTATTTTGTCGCGCCCACCATACTCGTCGGGGAAAACGTAGAAGCTATTTTAAGACAACGTAGCAAGGTAGAGTTAACTGAGCAATCAGAGGCGCTATCCTTGTTACACGACACCAACAGCCTCACGAAATACTCGTTGAAAGTTCTAAAGACGTTCAGCTAGGAATGTAACTTCCAAAGTGTAGCAGCTATACAGTATCGCGAAAAGGTATAATGGCCACCTTCATCACTGGTTTACAGTCCCCTTCAATCCAGCAAAAATCATTGGAGAATAATACACTCAATTTAAAAACCATGTTTGATCAGGCTTGGACTCTTGAAACAGCCGTGTGAAGTTCTGAATCGTACGTCGTACCTTCCTCATCTGTAAACGCTGCAGTTCCACTAACAACTGCTCACACATCGTAACAAGAACCAGATCCCAACACCTTATCAGCAATAGGGACTAAAGGCTCTACTTGCTGCCTCTGTGGAAACGATAATCATCCTCGCTCTAAGTGTCCAGCTCGCGATGCACTTTGCTCAAAATGTCATAAGAGAGGTCACTTCGCGAGTGCTTTCCGTAGAAGGACTGTTAGTAAGAATAAAGTCTGCAGCCTGTCTCCGACACTCGCCACGGTCTCTTCAAGCACTCCAGCCTCTCTTTCAAAGTCATCAAGAACTACTGAAATTGAAGGATTTCAATTTGAAGCCCTTTTAGACAGTAGTTACAGTGAAAGTTTTATACATCCAAATCTAGTGGACAAAGTAGCCCTGACAATTTATCCTTCATTTGGTACGGTATCCATGGCTACTTCTGCATCTATCGTTGTTAAGGTCAAAGGAACATGTTCACCTAATCTTTCCTATCAAGGACGCAATTACGACGGTTTCAAGCTACTTGTCCTACCTGGCCTCTGTGCTGACTTCACAGCGGGTCTTGACTTCCAGTCTCGGCGCTCAAGCGTCGTGTTTCATCATGGAGGCACTAAACCACCCCTGTCTGTCTGTGGTTTTAGTGAACTTAGTGTTGAACCTCCTGAGCCATTTGGAAACCTGACTGCGGATTGCCATCCAATTGCCACTTAAGTCTCGACTTTGCAGCCAAGAAGATTTCACCTTTATTGACGCAGAGGTGAAGAGATTACTCTGGGAAGGTATAATAGAACAACGTCACTCTCATGGCAAGCACGGGCCGTGGTAACTAAGGATGGAAATCACCAAAAGAAGTTGGCAAATGACTATTCGCAGACCATTAATAGGTTTACTCTACCCGACACTTTTCATTTGCCGAGAATTAGCGATATGTTCAATAAGATCGCCCAGTACCGAGTTTTAAGCACCATTGATCTCCAAAGTGCGTATCATCAAGTACCAATTAAGGATGAAGACAAGCTGTACACAGCCTTGGAAGCTCGGCACGACTTGTATCACTTTACTCGCTTGCCATTTGGCGTCACTAACGGTGTGGCTTGTCTCCAGAGAGAGATGATGATGTTTGCTGCAGAGAATAATCTTGAGGCAGTTTTTCCGTACCTTGACAATGTAACTGTTTGTGGTAAACACCAAGAGGAACACGAACTTGAAACGTTTCCTTGAGGCTGCTGAGTATAAGAACATCTGTTACAACACTGACAAGTCAGATCGAGTCAAACCACTTGCTGAATACAGATCATCCCCTCTGTCACAGCCAGCTGGTGGGGCATTTGAAAGTTTAAAGAAGACGGCAGAGGAAGCCGTTATCACCGCAATTTACGAGACCATTCCCTTTGAGGAAGAAACGGATGCCTCAGACGTAGCACTAGTAAAATGGTAGACCTGTAGCTTTCTTCTCACGAACCCTTCAAGGTAGTAAGCTTAAGCATGCATCCGTAGAGAAAGAAGCACAGGCAATAATTGAGGTCGTAAGATACTGGAAGACACTTAATTCTCAAGACTGATCAGAAGTCAGTATCCCACGTGTTCGACAAACGTCACAAAGGAAGGATAAAGAAAACAAAATTCCTAAGCTGGAGACTTGAACTCTCTTGCTACAGCCTTGACATAATTTATCGCCCTTAAGTGACAAAGTCGCACCAGATGTCATGTCCAGAGCCAGATGCGCTACTACTGCGTGCGCCACCGCAACTGAGGACTCAGTTTATGCGATTCACGAGTCCCTCTGCCATCCGGGGATCACAAAATCAAACCATTTTGTACGAAACAAGAGCTTAACCTTCTCCCTAGAAAAGATAAAGAAGATTACAAAGAAGTGCCTTGTTTGTTGTGAATGCAAACCTCAGTTCTACCGCCTAGAGAATATTCCCCTTATCAAGGCCACCCAGCCATTTGAGAGGATCAACATCGATTTCAAAGGCCCACTACCGACCAACGACAGAAACAAGTATTTCCTCATGGTGGTCGACCAGTACTCTAGGTTTCCGTTTGTCTTTCCCTATCCGATGCGTCGAGAAGCATGATTATTAAGTGGCTGAATTCACTTTTCTCACTCGTCGGAATGCTAGCGTATGTCCATTCTGATTGAGAGGCATCCTTCATGAGCAAAGAGTTCCGAGACCTCTTAACAACAAAATGGGTTGCCACAAGTAGGAACATGAGCTATAACCCCGAAGGAAATGGCCAAGCAGAAAGGTGCAATGGAGTATTATGGTAGGAAATCACGATGAGCCTGAAATCCAAGAACCTGGCATCTAAGAATTGGCAAGGTTTCTCTCGACGTTCTGCATTCTATCCTTTCCCTGTTATGTACAGCTACCAATGAAACACCACACGAGCGCTTTTTTGGTATCTCTCGACGATTTTCCTCTGGTGCCTCCATTTCCAATTAGCTAGCTACATCTGAACTCGTCCACCTGAAACGTCAAGTTCACGCCAACGAGGCGGAACCTTTGGTTGATGAAGTGGTATTGCTCCAGGAAAACCGTCACCACGCCCATGTGCAGTATCCTGATGGTAGTGAGACTATAGAAGCACCAAGCACCTTGCACCTAAGGGCCAAGCCAAATTGTTACAACCTCTTTGCCCAGTTGCTCCAGAAGCAGGAGAGAACACGTCCCATGGCGAAGCCAATACTAAAACACGTTCGAGTCCAGCGTCTGATGTAGAAACGGGGCCTGAACCTGAACTCTTTACCGTTCTAAAGACGAGTCCGTCGTCCAGTGGTCAGACTAGATCTTTGAAAGGAGGGATGAATTTTATATACCATATACATACTCCGTGTGATTGAGATAAAAAGAACTATCTTAATGATGTCTGCATAATTTAAATAGTTGCGTGTACGTCCTTTGCGTTTACTGTATATATGGTTTATTTATTCATTTTCGTGTAACACTGTGATATAGAAATTAGGACATTAGCGAAAGAAACGTTGTCTCTACTTTACAACAATCTTCATCCTCTTTGATTCTATTTAAATACGATTCTAGAATTCTAACTATATTCTAACCTTAGATTAGCTCTTATGCCGTAATTCTACTGAAATTGAAGCTCAATTCGATAAAATGACTTTTTCATCTCGAATCTGGACAATTTTGATCCTGTCTTTTAGGTTTGCTATGCCTTGTTTTGAAAATAACTGATACAAAGTATTCGAACCCTCGAAGGGAAGATCTTTCGAAAGAAGACGAAACAGAGCGGCAGATGATGTCCGAGGTGCGCGAACAGTTTCGTTCAAATATGGAAGGCAAGGACACAACCCATGGCCTTTATTATCATCTTCAGTCACTTGGATTAAATGTAAAAGCGGCAGAGGATGGAAGTTTAAAAATAACAGTGGAGTGTCGTACATTGAAAGTTCTTCAGTGCCTATGGGAGGAATACACCTCCGGTTGTCTTAATACAACTGCTGAGAGTTACTTTTTGACAGATGACATGAAGAGAAGATATAATGTGACATCTGTCAGCTTGAAAACAACAATTTTGGAAGAGGATTACTTGGCGTGCAAAAATTTTCTCGTTGCTCGTAAGTTGATCATTGAAGCTATCTAATAAAGCAAGGAAAGAAACAGCTGCTGGTATGTGTACTGATCGGCAGTTTTTCCAAAGACTTGGAATTGTACACGGTAGCTGCTTGCTTTTTTAAAAAAATCAATTTTTAAACAGATGCGTACTATTTGAGCCACAGTGAACTCGTAGGCGAGGTGTGTGTACATGTGCTGTTAGGATCTGATCAATTTGAGGAGATTAAAAAATAAATATTAATTGTAAAAAGATTTGATCGATAACTGAATTAGGACCCTCTAGAGGATGCCTTGGTATGTTTGCCGCATGTGGACGTGTTACTCGCCAATAAGCTCTTTGGTTGGTAGACAAAGCGTTATACGACCGCTAAAGTCAGAACTGGGACGGGCTAGAAATCCCTTGTCACGTTAGTCGATTAGCACGTAAAACTAATAACGATTCTATGCTACCATTCAACAGACGAGAATCAACAATTATCAACAAATAAAGGAGAATATTTGTCCCAGGTTCAGACCGAGACGGCTTTTACACCTGACATTCCTGCCGCTGAAAAAGTTGGATCCGGAGCCAGTGGACTAAATTGTAAGTCATCATATATTGGATTTTTACTTCGATTCAAACCTGAAACATAGTGTCAGTAAAATAATGAAAAAAAATTAAAATAAA